TTCAATTTTATAACCTTAGGTGTACCCATGTTGTAAAGAGGGTGTGTGGATACACACCCTGCAAGCAATATTACGTACTTGACATTTTTGATTTATTTGCAAATATTATAATTATCAACAGCAGGTAAAATGTATAACATAAAAATATAAAACATATATTTCCTATGTATATATTATTTTAAACATTTAAACTGGAAAGAAACTTGAACTTTATTTAAATCATAAGGTTAATCAATAATTTATTATCCTATATCTAAATAACTGCATAATATTGTAATTTGAGAGAAAGTTCCTCTACTAAAATTATTCTACATATGTATTCAACAAAAATTCTGTACATGGTTAGGTTTCTAAATTTACCTATCTATATATTTTTATTTTTATTGATGAAATTTATTTTTAATCGTTTCAATATTTTTGTCTTATAGGTACTGAATACTGATATATACATAAAATATGTTTGATTTTATAAGAATACCATTCAAAGWTAATAAAGTTAAAATTGTAAGTCCATTTCTTTGTGATAATGTCAAACAATTTGGTATCTGTGAAGAAACATGTGCAGAGCGTCATGATTTATGTAAAACACTTGATAAAGAATGTCTCAATATTCCTTCAAAATGTTTGATTAGCATWAAACTATCAAAAATCCTGAGTGCTTCACGCTTTTATGGCAGAATTCTTAAATATAGTACTAAAAATAATCCTACAAAAGATCAACATTGGATTAGTGTTGACGACTCATTTGAAAGAATAAAATATGAATTAAAAAACATTTGCTCAACACCAAAATTAATCATTTTATGTAAAACCTTTACCATTGGTGAAATGGTTATGGTACAAACTGAACAAGAAGAATTTTATCGAGCAGTGGTCTTAGATATAGATTATGGATGGCTTACAGTTAAGGCAAAAGTAATATTAATTGACACTGGATTAACAACAGAAATTAGTTCAAATAAAATATTTGTATTGCCAAGCCATTTAAAAGAACTCCGGCCTTTAGCAGTTGAAATCATCATATCTTCCATGGAACCAGAGATTGAGAGAGGTTCTGTTTTCAATTGGCCAGTGAATACAACAAATGTTGTACATAGTTTATTAGAACCAATTATTTTGTCAGAYTTAGAATTTATTTGCAAAGTTGAACTTACATTAGGAACGACTTTATGGGTTGATTGGATATTAGCCAAGAAATGTATTAAATGTTCTCACTTTGCATGTAAACTGTATAAAAGTTCTTTGATACTACCAAATGAATTAATCAAACGCAATCTTGCTAGACGTAGTTCTCTGCTCATTGATAAATTAATAAATTTAGACAAGGATGCCCAAGTATGGAAAAAACATTTAAATGCTGCTAAACCTTTATTCATTAAAAAATCAAATGTATCATTATTTTCATGTGAGGAACAAAAAAATGAAAATAACAAAGTAATTAAAGTACAATGGGCTCATTTATCTGAGCATACAATTTCAAATGTATCTGTTTGTTATGTAGATTCTCCAAAATGTTTTTTTGTAATTAATATGCAATTTTATGATAGAGTTATTGCTCTTCAAAAAGACATTGATGATGCTATTAGTAATACAACAATTGCAAAATTAACTTGTGCTACTGTAGGAAATATTTGTTTAGCCTTAGCACCTGGAGAAAATAAATATAATCGTGTTATTATTCAAAAACTCAACAATCAAAAAGCTGATGTTTTCTTTGTAGATTATGGTGAATTTTAYGAAGTTGAAATTGATGGTTTATTGACTATACCCTCAAGTTTAATAACAAAGTTACCATTTCAAGTAATTGAGTGTAGCTTAAGTGGTTTTAATGATATTTTACCGACAGATATTGTAGATCTGTTTAATAATCGTTTGTTGGAACTTACAAATACTAAGATACATTTAAAAGTTCTTTCTTCTACCAAAGACACGAAGTTTACTGTAGGAAGTCTTTATGAAGTTGTATTGTTTAATAATGATAAGAATATAAATGTGACAATGGCTGATGAATTTAATAGGTATGTTGATAATACTCAAATACAAAATATTTTAGGTTCAAATTATGAATATAAAGAATACGAAAGTAAGGATGATGATGATGAACTTGATGAAGAAGAATTGAAATGTCAGATGGAGTTTTTGAAGAGCTTATTCAAAAATTCAAATCAAACAAATGAAACCCAAATTGTGACAGATTCAACTAATGAAAATGAGAAAGATTCAAAATTATTAAATAAAGATAATGTAATTGCAAACATAGAACAGCTAAAATGTGTGCAAATTGAGAAAAAATATTGTCTAGATTGTAATGTGACTCCTGTGATTCCTCAATGTTTCTGGCATCAAGATGACTTATGGATTTATCTTAAATTTAATATTTTGTCAGTTAACAATTATAATACCTCATACACAATGAAT